GGCTTTTTTCTTTTTGCTTATGTGGTGCTGAGGAATGGAACCCAGGGCCTCATGCATGCAAGGCAAGCGCTCTACCACTGAGCCACCTTCCCAGCCCTCTCACTAACTTTTTATCAAACCAATCTTAGCTAAGACTACAGCTTGAGGAACCTCGCCGGGCCCTGCTCTGAAGTTCTGAAGACTTCTAGATGACAAGTCATGCCCTGAAAATCTTCATTCCTGCCCGCTCTGCAAGGTGACAGGGCAGGACCACAGCTGTCCCCGGTGCCACCCCCAGTGCTGCCCAGGACAACACACTACACTAGACAAAGCGTGTACCTGTATTTGCTCAGCATACTCAAGCCAGTAAACATATGAGTTATGCCAGAGAATATTTCTATTCTTAGGAAATACAACAGTACAGTATTGAGAAAATAAATGTTGAGAGCCAGGCATAGTGACTCATGCCTGTAATCCTGGCTACTCAGGAGGCTGAGAGCTGAGGATCACGTTCAAAGCCATCCCAGGGAAGAAAGTCTGTGAGACTCTTCAATTAAGCACCAAAAAGCTAGAAAGAGGAATGTGACTCTCTAGTGGTAAATTGCTACCCTTGAGCAAAAAAGCTCAGTAACAGCACCCAGGCCCCGAGTTCAAGCCCCAAGACCTGCCCAAAAAAACAGTAAGAAAGGGCTGGGAAGGTGGCTCAGTGATAGAGTGCTCGCCTAGCATGCATGAATCCCTGGATCCAATCCTCAGTACCACATACACAGAAAAAGCCAGAAGTAGTGCTGTGGCTCAAGTAGTAGAGTGCTAGTCTTGAGCAAAAGAAGCCCAGGGACAGTGCCCAGGCCCTGAGTTCAAGCCCCAGGATTGGTTAAAAAAAAAGAAAAAGAAAAAAGGAAAATGCATATGTGCCCTTGCACAGATCTGTGTGCATACACAGCAGGAGAGAGAATACATAATTATATGTCAGGAAATAAAAAGCTCATTTCACACAGCCTTCCAAACAACAACAGGCAGACATCTATATGTGAAAATGACAAATCCATGGAAGTGGTGCTGTGGCTCCAGTGGTAGAGCGCTTGCCTTAAGCTGAAGAGCTGAGGGGCAGCGACCAGGCCCAGAGTTCAAGCCCCACGACCGACCAAAAAAAAAAAAGAAAATGACAAGTCCTGCACTGCAGTTCCATACCTGAGGAGGTTCATAAATCGCTGCCACTTCGGCCCTGATGCCCAAGGGAATATCCTTGTGCTCCGTGTACCGTCCATACAAGTACCCGAAATGCTGGTTCCCCGTCTTTCTCCAGAAGTCAAGGAAGCGGTCAGCAACAGTGTGATTCTCAAACATGATATTGTCTACATGTCTGTATTTCTGTAGAGTTAACAATGTGGACTAAATGAAAACATTCAATCCCATCTATTTTTCTTTTTTTCTTTTTTTTTTTTTGGGTCCGGTTGTGGGGCCTGAACTCTGGGCCTGGGCGCTGTCCCTCAGCTCTTCAGCTCAAGGCTAGCGCTCTACCACTTGAGTCACAGCGCCACTTCCGGCTTTTTTCCTTTTGCTTATGTGGTGCTGAGGAATCGAACCCAGGGCCTCAGGCATGCAAGGCACACGCTCTACCACTGAGCCATCTTCCCAGCCCCCCATCTATTTTTCTATACCAAACCGTGGCAAAATGTCTACTATCTGGTCTCTACAGATTCCAATACTGGGGATTGAATCCAGCCTTATTTACTTTTTTAGGCTGGCCCTGGGGCTGGAACTCTGGGCCCGGGTGCTTTTCCTGAGCTGCTTCTGCTCCTTCTGTGACTTGAGTCACAGCACCACTTCCAGCTTTTTCTGTGACTAACTGGAGTTATGAGTCTCACAGACATCCTGGGCTGGCTTTGAGCGTGATTTTCTTATCTCAGACTCCTAAGTAGCTAGGATGATAAGTGTGAGCCACTCACATCCAGCTTTTATCCACTTTTTTTTAAAAAACAAGCCAACAGCCGGGCGTTGGTGGCTCACGCCTGTAATCCTAGCTACTCAGGAGGCTGAGATCTGAGGATCATGGTTCAAAGCCAGCCCGGGCAGGAGAGACCGTGAGACTCCTATCTCCAATAAACCACCAGAAAACCAGAAGTGGCGCGGTAGCTCAAGTGGTAGAGCGCTCGCCTTGAGCTGAAGAGCTGAGGGACAGCGCCCAGGCCCAGAGGTCAAGCCCCACGACCGACAAAAAAAAAAAAAAAACAAGCCAACAGTCTGGGGGGTCTAATTCAATGGAAGAGCACTTGTCTTCTATGCACAAACAAGTTACATCCTCCCTACCAAATAACAAAACTAATTTCTCAGCCATGAAAATAAAATCAAGGACATCTCACCTGTCTGTTCAGTGTGATGGCACTGGGTTGGCACTTGGTACAGATACCATTGGGCCATGGGAGGTGTCCCTCACATCCTGACTTAATCTTACAGCTGATATTCTCCAGGGCAACAAACTTCCCCCTGTTAGAAGAGAAACAACTGAGCCATTGCGATGACAGCCAAGAGTCTGGCTGGAACCTGAAGAGCACTGGAACAGGTGACACCTCCTACGGGCCAGAGGCCAGGGAAATGTGCTAAAACTACTCTGCTGCTAAGTCCAGGGAAAGTCTACAGTTCAGCTTCATCTTCTACTGAGACTCTACCCCGTAGAAACATGGTTTTTTTAATCCCTATCCCTACCCTAACATGCTTGAACACCGTTGGAAATGTACTGATCTAACTTATATCACCAAGAAGACATCTCATCCTGTGTGGGGTTTTTTTGGGCCAGTCCTGGGACTTGAACTCAAAGCCTGGACACTGTCCCTGAGCTTCTTTTGCTCAAGGCTAGCGCTCTACCACTTGAGCCAGAGTGATTAATAAGAGATGAGAGTGCCATGGAGCCAGGCGCCGGTGGCTCAGGCCCGTCATCCCAGCTACTCAAGAGGCTGAGATCTGAGAATCTTGGTTCAAAGCCAGCCTGGGCAGGAACGTCTGTGAGACTCATCTCCAATGAAGCACCAGAAAACCAGAAGTGGCACTGTGGCTCAAGTAGGAGAGCACTCGCCTTGAGCTGAAGAGCTGAGGGACAGCAGCTAGGTCCAGAGTTCAAGCCCCACGACCAACAACAACAACAAAAAATCATCTCAGGGCCTAGAGGAATGGCTCCAATGGTAGAGTGCCTATCCAACAAGAGTAAAACACTGAGTTCAAGTCCACAAGTACCACAAAAAAAAAAATCACTTCAAGCTGGGTGCCTGTGGCTCACACCTGTAACCCTAGCTACTCAGGAGGCTAAGATGTGAGGATCACAGTTCAAAGCCAGCCCAGGCAGGAAAGTCCGTGAGACTCTTATCTCCAATAAACCACTAGAAAACTAGAAGTGGTGCTGTGGCTCAAGCAGTAGAGCGCTTGCCTTGAGCTGAAGAGTGCAGGGACAGTACTCAAGCCCAGAGTTCAAGCCCCACAACTGACCAAAAAAAAAATCACTTCAGAATGGGGGAGGGGGAGAGTAAGGGAGGGGATGGGAGATACCATTAGGCAAAGTGCAAAAAAAGTTGCTGACTTAGGTTCAGTGTCCTCTACCTTCCTATGTCACAGATGGACAGCAATTATAAAGCTACAAATGAAGTCTTATTCTTTTTTGGGGGAGCGGCCAGTCCTGGAGCTTGAACTCAGGGCGTGGGCACTGTCCCTGAACTTCTTGTTGCTCAAGGCCAGAACACTACCTCGTGAGCCATAGCACCACCTCTGGCTTTTTCTGTGTATGTGGGTAATACTGAGGAATGGAACCCAGGGCAGCCTCATGCATGCTAGGCAAGCACTGTACCACTAAGCCACATTCCCAGCCCTGTTTCTCCTTAGTAAGGTGTATGCAGAGATGTAGACTTTGAAAAAGCCACATAAGCATTCCAAGTGGATTAAAACAATCAAAATAAATGATGATGTATGATGTATGCCCATAATCCCATGGCATGGAGGCTGAAGAATTGCAAAATTATAGTCAACCAGAGATACTAATAGACACTGGAAAAACAAAAGCAGCCAGGTACTGGTGGCTCGCTCTGGTTGTGAGGCACAGCATCTGCCACAGACTCTCCTCCACCTTTCTAAAATATAGGGAAGAGATTGCCTGGCAAGTACAGGGCCCTGACTTCAAACACAACTACTCGCAAAACAACCTAGCATCCAAGATTCCAAGGTTCTGTACACTGTTGATTTTACCTTTCCCATGCCCGTGCCCAGTAGCTCTTACTTGTCAGCGCCTCCAGTCAGCTTACGGATGTAGGCGTGGAAGGACATGTGCTTCACAGGAGGCTCCAAGTGATTCAGGTAGTCTTCATCGAATGGCTGCCAAAACACACAGGAAGTGAGAGTCCTAGGCTGGCCAGGACAGGAGGCATAAGGACCCTGCTACACAAGGGAGCAGATGAGGCCGCCACAGTCAGCATCCATGGGGCAGTGAAGGAGACAGTGCTGCTTCCTCACTAGTTCAAGCTCAGAGTCAAGTTTCTCTATGTGAGCCAGTTATCTTCTTAAGACTAATCCCTATTAAATACAAAGTGTTTTCAAGCCAAGTAAGCTCCAGAAGAACTTTGCAAATAAATCACAAGAGGCCTGAAGATATAGCTCCAAGGTATAGTGCTTGCCCAGCATGTGAGAACATGAGCATTGGACCCTGGTGGGTTACATCTATAATCCTTTACTCAGGAAGCTTAGATCAGAAGAGCTAAGCTTGAAGCCAGGCCAGGAAAAAAAGTTCACAAGACCTATCTCCAGGGTTGGGAAGGTGGCTCAGTGGTAGAGTGCTTGCCTTATATGCATGAGGCCCTGGATTCCACTCCTCAGCACCACTTAAGCAGAAAATGCCAGAAGTGGCACTGTGGCTCAAGTGGTAGAGCACTAGCCTTGAGCTGAAGAGCTGAGGGACAGCACCCAGGCCCAGAGTTCAGCCCCCACGACCCACCAAAAAAAAAAAAAAAAGCAAAAATACCTTTATGAATACACAGATGAACAATAACACTTTCACTAAGTTCCCTCCAAAAAAAAAAAAAAAAAAAAGAGCTATCTCCATAATGACCAGCAAAAGCCAGGCCAGGTGGCTCATGTCTACAATCCGAGGTACTTGGGAGGCTGTCACCTATAATCACAAGTTCGAAACCAGCCTAGGCAGAAAAGTCTGCAAGATTCCATCTCCAATTAGCCAGCAAAATGCCAGATTGGAGGTACTGGTCAAGTGGCAGAGTGCCAGCCCTGAGCAAAAAAGTCAAGGAAACTAAGGGTGGAGGTGGATCACGCCTATAATCATAACTACAGTAATGCTAGCTACGGGCTGAGATCTGGGATTATGGTTCAATGTCAGCCAACCAAAAAGCTGGAAATGGACTTCTGGCTCAAAGTGGTACAGCATTAGCCTTGAGTACAAAAGCTCAGGGACCACAGAGACAGGCCCTGCCTTCTGGCCCTAGGATCAGTCCCCAAAAAACAAAACAGAAACCAAAAACAAACAAAAAAGGAAGGTAAGTGAGAACTGCATATCCTAATTCAAGCCCCATTCATTACTGGCACCAAAAATAGACCATCTGGAAGTGTGGCTCAAGCGGTAAAACGCCAACCAAGCAAATGTGAGGTCCTGAGTTCAAGCCCCAGTACTGGAAATGACAAAGCCAAAGAAAACCCACACGGTAAAAGGTAAAACTCAAACAGCTGCCTGAGGAAAATTAGGTTGGCCTGGCTTGCCAGCCCTGTTACTGGTTAGTAACTAACTCATCAAGACTAATTACAGGGTCCAAAAACCAAAGCAATGACGATCGTGAACCCACTGGCGCAGCTCTGTGTCCGATTTTGAAAGGCCTGTGCTGGGAGCACAGGGTACAGCTGCCCTTCACCACACAGGCTTCAGCCCGTCATAACCCCCCGAAGGCTGCTCAGCCTCTGTGCTGTCTAACAGCACAGAGTGGGGGACGCAAGGCTGAGGTGAGGAAAACACGGTTTGATTCGCCCTCCCACATGCGGGGACTCAGGAGTCAGCAGCCAAGGTCCTGAGTGGGCAGGCCCTCAGCAAACTCACCTCCAGCGGAACGCAGTGCACACACTTTCCCAAGGGGCCATGGCGGCATCTGCAGAGAGCACAAGCAGAAGAGAGGCACAGCAACACTCAGGCTATTTTTCTGTTGCCGTCTCACAACATTTTGCATATTTAAAATGGATATTATTCTTCACTAAAGAATTTCTCTACTAATGAATTATTTTTAAAGTGGTATAAAGATGAATGTTCCTATTATAATAGTTTTTTTTTTCCACAGGTTTATTAGAGGAGCCATATCTCCCCCAAGAGGGAGCACATGGCCTCCGTCCCCATCCAGGTAGCAGGAGGGTCTGAGGGATAGGAAGTGAGGCGGATGGGAGTTCAGGTGGGACTGTATAATAGTTTAATATTTAATCTGATGTGTACTATAAAAAGTGACCAACAGGGCTGGGAAGGTGGCTCAGTGGTAGAGCGCTTGCCTTGCATGCCTGAGGCCCTGGGTTCGATTCCTGAGCACCACATAAGCAAAAAGAAAAAAAGCCGGAAGTGGCGCTGTGGCTCAAGTGGTAGAGCGCTAGCCTTGAGCTGAAAAGCTGAGGGACAACACCCAGGCCCAGAGTTCAGGCCCCACGACCGGACCAAAAAAAAAAAAAGTGAGCAACATATCAAATCTGTGATTTCTTGAGAAATTATCTAGCTATCCATCCAATTTCCCCTTACCCTCTTGACAGTCTCCATCTAGAGTACAGGTTCCTTCAAACTTGGAATCCTGCCTCAGTCTCCCCAGTTCTGATCTAAGAAGGACACACTATGCCTAGCTACAGTTCAAGGTTGTTAACTGCATAAGATGACACAAACAGTAAAAGCAGGGCTGGGCAGGTGGCTCAGTGGTAGAGTGCTTGCCTTGAATGCATGAGGCCCTGGGTTCAATTCCTCAGCATCACATAAGCAGAAAAAGCTAGAAATGGCAGTGTGGGTCAAGTGGTAGAGCACTAGCCTTGAGCTGAAGAACTGAGGGACAGCGCCCAGGCCCACAGTTCAGGCCCACAACTGACAAAAAAAAAAAAAGTAAAAGCAATACTTAGGATGCATGAGGCCCTGCATTTAACCTCCAACAACAACAACAAAAGACAGATTTCAAGCCCATTTAAATAAATGTAAAATGATAATAGTCAGTGGTTCACACTTGTAATCCCAAATTACTGAGGAGGCTGATAGCGGAAACACTGAGGTTTGAAGACAGTCCAGGCAACAAAGTCCATTAACTAGCAAAATACTAAAGGGAACAAATCAAGAGAAAGTGTGAGAACAATCAAGAGAAAGTCCAAACCCTGGAATTGGAGTGGGGGAGAGGAATTAATAAGAAAGCCAGTAAGATAGAAATAGCAAAAAAAAACAAACCAAAAAACCCAGAATGGCGTATGAACCACCTATGTTTGGAATAAGCCTAGGTCATGTACACTCCGGAGGACGCTTAGCTCTAAGGACTCTGGACATTTTCAGATACAGAAAAGAACATTAACATGTATAACAGAGGTATGCTTATTGTTTGAGGGTGAAGATGGTGGAAATGTCAATGTCAAACTGCAGATCCTCCAAAAGCTCAATCAATCAGATCCCACCCTAAATGGGATCAGAATTGTTAGATGTGTGAGTTATACATTTCAATACAGCAGAGATGCCTCCTTCTGATGTAGGACGCAAGTTCTATGGATGACAAGTCAGAATTAACACGTGCACATGCACATACACACGCTTTATAATGAAGCCACAAAAGCCCAGATATGCCCAGGGAAAAGGGGTGCTGAATCCCCAGAAGGGGCTGCAAATGGAAGAGACATTCCAGCTAATGGCTATGACCAGCGAGTGGCTCCACGCCAACTTCGGCTGAACATTTGTGGCTCTTTCATCTAAGACACAGAAGTTGCTAATGCAGCAACTGGGATCCAAATATCTCAATGTCAGCGCCCTGTCAAATTTACAGAATGATGCATTTTCAAAAAAAGACTCTCACTACAGAGACAAATAGGCTTTGATCACGTGATTTTGCATGACTGATTATAAATTCAGACATCTTCAACTGGTTTCTTTAAAAAAAATTACAAATATTCTAAAATAAAACAATGTACACCAGCACCAGCGTTTCACATAAACCTGGTCAAAAGTGGATATTCAAAGGAGCAACATCTTTTGCAAATAAGACATTCACTGGAGAGCTAAAGAGTACACATCAGTACAAGATGCCACGTTCATTCTGTTGTTACTAAGAAGCCAAACCAAGTTCTTACACTGGCAGATATCCAAATACCATTCCCCTCACCTGCTTCTTCTCTGCCTAGAGGCTGGAGGGCCATGTAGGTCAGAAGATTTGAAGATATAGTCTACAGGTTTAAGACTCCTACTTTCGCTGGACAACTTTCAAATCTCTTAATATGTGTATAATCTAAAACATATTTTAAAGTTCCAACTAATAAGATGAAATGAAATTTAATATTAAAATATATGGCCGAAGCTGGAAAGGTGGCTCAGTGGTAGAGTGCTGGCCTTGCATGCATGAGGCCCTGGGTTCGATTCCTCAGTATCACATAAGCAGAAAAAGCCAGAAGTGGCGCTGTGGCTCAAGTGGTAGAGTGCTAGCTTTGAGCTGAAGAACACAGGGACAGCACTCGGGCCCCACAACCAACCAAAAAAAGATAGATAGATGGATAGATAGATAGATAAACAGACAGACAGGTAGATATAGACATTATACAGATATATTTGGCAGGGTGCTGGTGGTTCATACCTGTAATCCTAGCTACTCAGGAGGCTGAGATCTGAGAATCTCATTCAAAGCCAGCCTGGGCAGGAAAGTCCATAAGACTCTTACCTCCACCAGAAAACTGAAGTGGCACTGTGAGCACTTGCCTTGAGCTGAAGAGCTCAGGGACAGCACCCAGGCCCAGAGTTCAAGCCCCATGATCAAAAATTTAAAAAGGTCAAACTCAAAATTTCCACATCGTCGGATATTTATCAACATAAAACATATTTAACATCATCATAACCAAGGGATATAGCTCACTGATAGATTGCTTTAACTAGCATGTGGGAGGTTAAATAAAAAAAAAGATAAGGTTGGAAAGATGGCTTAGTGGTAGAGTGCTTGCCTAGTATGCAAGAAGCCCTGGGTTCCATTCCTCAGTACCACATACACAGAAAAGGCCGAAAGTGGTGCTGTGGCTCAAGTGGTAGAGCACTAGTCTGGAGCAAAAGATGCTCAGGGATAGCACCTGAGTTCAAGCACCAGGTTTAGCCAAAAAAAAAAAAGTGAAAATGTAGCTGTCAAGAGCACTCAGATGGTAAATCCTTTAACGTTTTAAAGCCAGGTAACATGGTACACACCTATAATCCCAACAATCAGGAGGCTGAGATAGGAGAATAGAGTTCAAAATCAGCTGAGTGTACATATCAATATCCCAGCTCAAAATTTAAAAAAATAAAAAGACCACAGGAGGATCGAGCCTACAGAGCACTTACAGCTGCGGATCTCGGCCCCTGTAAATCTTCCCATCCTGCTTGCTGAGGTACTGATCAATCTCGTCCTCCACCACATTGGGAATAAAAGGCTTCACTCCCAGTGAGGTTGATGTCTCCATCTCTGATGAGGGTCCAGCAAGGCTTGAGGGAAACAGGAACAACAAATCGCCATGCCTGTGCAAAAGACACAGTGTGTCAGCATGATCTGTTCTTTAACGTATGACGCTTATAGCCTAAGCCGAATAGTGAGTTTTAAGAGCTGAAAAGGGCAAACCCTAATCATCAAGTTCTTCGTTAATGAAGTTCACAATTTTTTTTTTTTCATCAGTTGTGGGGCCTGAACTCTGGGCCTGGGCACTGTTCCTCAGCTCTTCTGCTTAAGGCAAGTGCTCTACTACTGGAGCCACAGAGCCACTTCTGGTTTTCTGAGTGGTTAATTGGAAATAAGAGTCTCACGACTTTCCCACCCAGGCTGCCTTTGAACCACGATCCTGAGATCTCAGCCTTCTGAGTGGCTGCGATGACAGGCGAGGGCCACTGGCGACCAGCTTTGAAGTTTCCAATTTTAAACACTAGAATTTTCAAGCAGCTCTCACTGATAATCCTAGCTACTCAGAAGGCTGAGATCTGAGGACTCCATGATGGAGAGGCATGACTGAAAAGGAAAAAGGGGCGACCCATCCCTGGGCCAGAACTTATCTACGCCAGGGACTGGAAGAGGTGTGGCTAGGTGGGGGAAAGGTGTGGCCACACTGGACCCCAGGGTGACCTGGGACTCTCCTACGGTCAGATGGGAGGCTTGGGACCAGAGGTGGTCCCCAGGATGTGACCTAGCAGGAGGGGAAGGTGACTGCTTCCAGGCCTGCCAGTTACCTAGGTAACAGATACTGGGTGGAAACTTAACCAAGAGGGAGGGAGGTGTCCCTGGGCAGACCTTACAGAAGCCATGGCTCATCAGTAGAGCATCTCCAAGCCATAGGCTGAATTGAAAACCCTAGCTGGGTCCTGGTGGCTTACACCTATAACCCTAGCTACTCTGGAGGCTGAGATCTGAGAATCGAGGTTCAAAGCCAGCCCAGACAGGAAAACTCCATGAGACTCTTATCTCCAATGAACCACGAGAAAACCAGAAGTGGTGCTGTGGCTCAAGCAGTAGAGCACTAGCCTTGAGCTGAAGGGCTGAGGGACAGAACCCAGGCCCAGAGTTCAAGGCCTATAACCAACAAAAAAAAAAAGAAAAAAGAAACTCCTAGTACTCCCCAGTAAGAAAGGTGACATTTCACATCTTGCTCTTCTCATCTAATACCTCTCACAAAAGCAGTTACAGTCAATGTTCCTTATATAATCACAATTTGTTCTGTTCTAGAGACAAGGTCTCTCTGAGCAGCCTAACCTGGCTTAAACTTTCTTTCCACCTTCCGTCCTCAGCCCCGCAAGTGCTGGGTGACAGGCGCACGCCACTACACCACGCCAGCATTCGCCAGGGGACAGCGCCTCATGTAAGGAGGCACAGGGGTGCTGGTTTCTGCCACCGTGGGAAACACCCACGGATATTATACACTTTGTGTTGTTGTTGCTGGTCCGAGGGCTTGAACTCAGGTTGTAGATGTTGTCCCTGAGTTTTTGGCTCAAGGCTGGTGCTTTACCACTTGCACCACAGCTCCATTTCCAACTATGAAGTGGCTAACTGGAGATAAGTGTCTCAGGTCTTTCCTGCTTGGGATTTTCCTTGTTTCAAGCTGTGAACCTCAGATATCAGCCTCCTAAGTAGCTAGGATTACAGGCATGAAGCACAGTACCCAACGACTCCGTGCACTTTTACTCTTGAAGGAACAGTATTTACTCTTCCAGGAACAGTATTTTTTCGACGTGTTTCTGAGGCTGCCACAAGACTCAATTGCAATAGCAGCTTAGTGTACTGCTCCCTTCTGTGTAAATGACCCATACACGGTAACCAGCAGGACCTGAATGAGTGGTGTGGCCCAGGCATATACTGCTGTAGCTGTAAGCCAACACAGAAGCATCATGAGTCATGCTTCATGAGCGATGGCTCAAGCACTAACTAGTTCAGAGCCAAGCACACAGGGAAGGTTGTAGTGATCCATTTGAAAATATTCAGCTGCCATCAACAAGATACACACAGGAAAGAGCCTGAAAGAACAGCTGGCCCCTGAAAAGCACTGACATCAAACCCAAAGGAGCAAAGGCAGAAGTGCAAGCACTAAAAGGACCCGTGAACTCTAAGGCCCGTGGATGCTGCCACTCACAGTGAGACCAGGACGCAGGGTCCGGTGGGCAGAAAGGGACCAAACCATGCTGCTGTGCACAGAGTTTATTCACACACCATACACTCCTATAGGAGACCAGGACGCAGTGTCTGGTGGGTAGAAAGGGACCGAACCATGCTGCTGTGCACAGAGTTTATTCACACACCATGCGCTTTTATATGGCATAGGGGCATTGAAGGTAAGTCTGTAGTCAGAGAACAATCACAGACAGAGCAGTCACAGAACAGTCACAAGACCATCATGGGATAGAAAGTTGACCTTAAACAATTTTGGGGGAATGTGAACAGTTAGCAACCTTTAATCAGTGAGTAGGAAGAGTTGTTCAATAAAAGAGGAAGCAAGGGGCAGGCGGGGCTCCATTAAAAAACACAAAAGGAATCCTGAGGCATTGTTCCACTTGATTAACTAGGCTTCTCCCAGGAAGCAGGACCTCGCCCCACGTGGAGGAAGAGGCGGCCCCTCACTCCCCCAGAGGGAATGCAGGCCAGCATTCAACCTCCTGGCACACAGGAGCTCAGATAGGGTCAGGCGAGTCAATGCCTCAGACACATGTCAATAAAACCTCCTCTCCCCTCTGAAATTCAGGGGTGATAAAACTGCCAAACTGTCTTCCAAGCAGTAGATTAGATATTCTTAAACACCCTCCAGCTATGAAATGCTTGGCTCAGACACTGGATTAATTTTAACAAATATACTCTAACAAAGACTACTGAGTTCTTAAGAAGAAAGTAAAGTAACACCCAGGGGTCCCAAACCCAGCAGTGCAGTAAATAACAGAAGAGGACACCGCTCAGAGCTACCTCTGGGCCAAGATCAGGAGCGCAGGGCTTTGGGCTCACTGTCATTCGCTGGGCAGTAGGGGACTAGGCCATGAGCCTCCCTGCCCAGCACAGGCTGCTGAGCCTGAAACTGCCACATGAAACCAAACACCATGGGCTACACTGTATCAAGCTGTGCATGTATGCAAGAAGCTGGATGCTTTTTCTAATATTTTTGTTTCCTACATTGATTTTAGAATATTATAGACACATATCAAAAGAAAATAGGCTGGGAAGGTGGCTCAGTGGTAGAGTGCTTGCCTTGGTTCAATTCCTCAGCACCACATAAGCAAGAAAGCCCAAAGTGGTACTGTGGTTCAAGTGGTGGAGCGCTAGCCTTGAGCTGAAGACCCCAGAGTTCAGGGACCACAACCAGAAAGAGCGAGAAGGAGGGGGGGAGAGAGGGAGGGGGAGAGGGGGAGAGAGAGAGAAAGGGAGAGAGAGAAAGAGAGGGGATAGAGAGAGGAGAGAGAGGAGGGAGAGAGAATAATAAATTGCAGCTATGACGAACTCCACATCCTAAAATAAATAATAATATCTGCTTTTGAAGACAATTTCATACAATACTTGTTAGAATATCCTTTATAACTAAATGTACTCATGTGACAGTGTAACTGTAATCCCCCTGTACATCACCTTTATAATAACAATTTTTAAAGTCACAAATAAAAGGGGAAAAACAAAAAACAAATACCCGAAGAGAATCTAAAGAACTGAGAATCTCTAAGCTGAAACTGTAAAAATCCTCCTGTCTGCCTCCATCTACCAAACCACATAGAAAAAAGCCAATTCTGGGCTGGGAAAGTGGCTCAGTTGGTAGAGCACTTGCCTTGCATGCCTGAGGCCCTGGGTTCAATTCCTCAGCACCACATAAGAAAAAAGCCAGAAGTGGCGCTGTGGCTCAAGTGGTAGAGCGCTAGCCTTCAGCTGAAGAGCTGAGGGACAGTGCCCAGGCCCAGAGTTCAGGCCC